ATGAGTCACAGTCGAGTCATAACCTGAGTCACTACAAGTCCTAGAACCTTCAGGCGCATTCCAGCGCCTTCTACAAGGTTCTACTCTATTCTGCGTGTCATTACTAAGCGTTCATGACACTATCCCCTCTCTAGGGCGCAATCTTCCTAGATGCGCGCGAATCCGTCAAGCGCGCCCATACTGATCGACATAGTTGAGCATTTCTGCCCACTCGATCCTCCATCTCTCTATGTTTTGGCCACTCTTGCCATGCATCTTCCTCAGCTCGTTAGCTATCGTGCCCTTGACACGATTCCGGACGTACTCGTCGCTGTCGACGTGTGCGCCTACGATCGGGTGCCTCTTCCTCATGCACGTGCCGAGGTCATGGTACCTGTCGCAGAGCCAACACCTTTTTACCATCGACGTGTTCCCTTCCGCCGCCTTGTCTGCCCTCCTTATCCAGTACTGGTCGCTCGCGACGCGGAGCACAGCTCCTTCTTGCCAGGGTTCTTCATCTCCTGCAACTCCCTCAGTCGCGTGGCGTTGTAGTCGATGACGTTCCCTTCGTGGTCGGTGGCGATGAGGTCCCAGTACTTGTCGGCTTCGGGGTCGTTGGGCCTGACCCCTTCCCAGGGCGCATGGATATACGCCGGGAATTTTTCGTCCCAGTTGACGCTAGGGTACGGTTCGGGCTTGGGCCAGTTGTCGGCGTCGAGCTTCTTCACCGCGTCGTCGCTGTAGGTCACATAGGTGACACCGGCGACCTTCTGCGTCGTCGCGCCGTACTTCTTCGCCTCTTCCTCGTCGCGGAACGGCGACCAACCGAGTGGTGTGCACGTGTCCCATGGCATCGGTTCATTGGTGGATGCGGGCCATCCGGATTCGGATGCGGGGAACGGCTTGTCGTCGTGCCCGTCGTTTGCTCGCGTCGAGCTGACCTCGTCGCGATCCTTTCGTCGTGTAAGTTTCCCTTTTCGCTGCAAAGTTCTGCCTCTGCTTACTTTGCGACGGGGCACCTGCTTCCCTTTCTTCTTCTTCTGCGCTATGGACCATCCGTCACCTTCGTCAGTGTCGGATGTCAGCGTTGGTGTCGTCGCTGGGGTGTTGTAAACTGTCTCACCCTCTTCCTCGGTCTTGACCTCGGTCTTGTCCTTGTCGGTAATCTCGACGATCCGATCGATTTGCATCGTCTTCATCTCGTCGATGTCGTTCTGTATCTGCTTCTTCGCCTGGTCCCAGGCTGTTCCTCGCCAGTCGACCATAATGTCGAGGGCGGCTTGTCCATGTGCAATCGCGTCGTCAAGTCGGCCCTCCTGCTTCGCTATGGTGTAGCGGTTCAAGAGGGTGGTGATAGAGTCTCTGTATATTGCCCAGACCGTATCGATTAGTTTTTGTGCTTCATCGGTACGGACAGAGAACTCTCGGAGTACTGACACGGTCATGTTGCCAGTCTCGTTCGTGGTTGGGGTGGTTGCCGGCATCTTGGATGTCGAGTGAGTGGTGAGTGAGGAGTAAAAGTGTGGTGTGTGCTTGGGGTGTGGGGGTCAGAACGCTCTAGTCGTTGAAAATTTCGAGTTGTTCTACCCCCCTTTTATGCTCCTCAGACATCCTTGTCTGGCTCATTCGTTATCTTCTTGTCATGCCTGACAGTCATCGGCCCGTTCGTTTCTCCGAGTCATGTCGCTAATTTTGTCGTCGTTTCTCGGCTTGACAGTACAGTGCCATAA